ACTCTGAAATAAGTGTGCCCCAATGCCGCCACTCTTCTGGAGATGTTGAAAATATTTCCATTGCATTTCCAGACGTTCAGCACCTATTTCTGAACCTCAAGTTTTTTTTGGCTTAAATCCAACATTGGACACGACCGATAACCCTCTTAAAACCATATCAATTTCCAAGAAGCCGTCCCGCATCAGAATTGTACGATCCAAACGAGAGTATGCAAAATTTTCATTAGGTTTTTGACATCCTGAGGTAACCCCAGTGAAGGGACTTTGGAATATGGTTTTTTAATTAGCCAGTTTCTGATTGGTATTAAGTGCAAATAGGGTACCACAAAATCCCATGGTTGAAAACATATACATCATATATGTGTCAGATTTGGAATTGCCATATATAATATGAAGGAAAATCTTTTTTTCCGGAATGCGTAACGAAGGGTTCTCGTTTTACTTTGAAAGTCTGGGGGTGGAGCCGTATTCGCTCGACGTTGTCTTTGTGTTCGCAACCGTTCGCAAGCGACCGCAAGTGGGGCCCTATGGCCATGCCTATGGCGATTGCTGCAAACGTGGTTGCTTTTGGAGGTTTCAAACGTCGTGTCACCTCGTTTCGTTTGGCAGGCGTGGCACTTCTCTCTGGCATCCTGTCTGGAATCTATTCTGACATTCTACTGTATCTGGCATTCTTTCTGGCAGGTATTGTGGCATTCTTTCTGGCATGTGTTCGGGTCCGCGTTTGCCGTGGCATGACCTTGAGATTCTGGAGCGAGATTGCTCGAATTGAACCGCCACTTGCTGTGAGATCCGGGCCTGTTGATGCCCACAGTGACGATGAGCTGGAGGAAGAAGGAAGGAAGGACGGAAGGAAGAGTCACGCCTTTCATTAAAATCTAAAGTCTATAGAGTCTAGAGACCCTCACCTGGCAGGTGGGGAAAACAAGCAAGCACACCAAAGAGAAAAAATCAACACTTATAAACAACATTTTTAAGTAGGACTGTGTTTCTTCTATCTCTATACTGGCGCCATTCCGAGGAGCGCCATCCCTGAATTCTTCAAGGCGTCAGTGGCCACCGAGAGCCGATTTCGAGCCTTTGTGGAAGATCCTGACTCCAGCACCTTGGGTTTCAACATGGGTCTGGGTGGAAGAAATCCTGCACCACCTTGGGTAGCTCAAAGATTTTCAAAGAATTTCAAGCCTTTTAAATGATAGGATAAACCACCTATGAATTGGTGCAAGATTTCTTCCATCCATTGTATGTCAGGGATATCATGAGATATTACTTGGGTGTGTCTGACAATGGGACATGCGTCCCTTTTTTGGTTGTTTTGTTAGCCAAGAGCTGGATGCACACAATCTATGGCAATCTTGCAATGGGGAGCATGATTTTTTAAACCAAGAAAAGATGTATTCCATTTTCAGACAAACTGAAATGGGGAAACCAATCCTGACCTTGTTTCGCCAAGGGTTTCATGAAAACATGTTCGCTGCAACCCTGACGTTTGCCCGCCCTGGAATTGTGAAAGGGTTGCGCATTTCCAAAAGTCTATGCAGGCCAACCGGCATGTATTCGTAGATCTGCACACCCCATTTAATATCTTGTTCAGAAAGGGTGGCGGATTTGATCCCTGATGAAGATAAGTTGAAGTTTATATCCAATTCAACAGATTGTTCAGGGGGGAGCATGCGGATTTGATCTCCATAAGTTGAAACCAGTATCCATTGTTCGCAGGTGTTGGCGGATTTGATCCCTCATAAAGATAAGTGGTGGGCGAACGTCCGGGTTGCAGCGAACATGTTTGAACGACATCTCTGCACCGTTTGTTTCTTGATTTTTTCTTTAGATCCGTTATCGGACTATGTGCATTGACCAACCACTAGTAGGTAATTTTCCGGTAGGTATTTGACACTGCTCTTTTTTGGGGGGACCACCCGGCTCTCTAACACGAACTCACTGACACTGAGGTAATTTTGCTTTCTATTTTGCCCAGCTGCAGTATTGTTTTCTTCTCATTACCAGTGGAACCATCATTTGGCAAGCGTCACGGGTGCCTGGGACGCCGATGCTTCCCAACAGTTTGCACGTCAACATTGTCCACTGTGTTTGTGAGGGACTCTTGTTCTTTGATTGTGTGGCGCGTGTCTTGGTGATAGAACATGATTTTTTTGGAAGCGGTGGGGTATTTTCTGGCAAACAAACACGGCTAGCTGTGAAATCGTTGATAAATGAAGGTTTTAATGGGAAACACATCTAATTAATCTAATTCGAAATGGAAGACTTTCCCACTGCCATGCTTGATTATGATTGATTGGCGCGCGGTTGAAGTCCTACACTGGCCCGTGGTCTCGCAAATGATCTCTTGCGCTCAACCCAAGTGACCACTGTTGTTGGGATGGGCTGATGGTTAAAAAAATGAAACCAACAACTAGTTAAAAACCGTTTCACCCCATTTAATTCAGCTGGCTTGCTTAGCTTCGCAAACTGTGCGCATCTTGAGGTTGGTCTGTCAGTTACAGCTGCAAGAGCTACATCCAAAATCCTTATAATATCATTGACTTGTTGGCCGTGCTACCCTTGCCCTTGCGCATCACCCTGGGCGTTCCTTTGCCTTCGATGGAAGACAATCTGGTGGTGCACGTCTTACTGGTGGGTTTTGTGCCTTTCATCCGACTGCTGAAGATGGTGAGACGTTTCCACAAGATAGAAATACTGCTGCATGTGCTGTCAACCACCATTGATGCTCTTTTTAAAGCTGGATGAGTAGCATTTCTTTTGTTTGTATGTTTTCTTGGTAGTGGTTGATGTGGTGAAACAAATTGTTTAATCTGCAAGCAGAGAACCAAATTCTGCCATCACCAAAGATCACCAAAATGCAAGTCCTGTTCTTGTCAAAATTTAGACCCTTGAAGTGGGTGTGTCTGAAAATGGTCTGTACCACCAAAATGGCATTTTGATAGGGATATAAAGCAGCTCTGGGGGTAGCATATTTACAGACACGCCGAGTTTCCGCACGCCGCACATCACCTGTTGTCTCAAACAACATGGGGATTTGAGCAACGGTACCTTCAGAGAAAGGATCATATGGTCGCTCCAAATTTAAGGTAATCAAGAGCTAAAACATGTTAAAACTGGCGATCTATCCCCGTTTTGGAGCAGCCAATAGATAGGTCAGATAGGTGATTTTTTTGGCCTCCTCACAGGTCCCAACCATAACTGTCGGGGAATCATCTCAAGAATTTGCAAAGCCGAATGGTTCGTTAACGTTTTCGAGGATGCGTTGAAGCTCCTCCTCTTCATGGTTTCCATCATTGTGCTGGCGTTTTCCATTGTACTCTATGTCGTTGATGATCCTCTGGAAATTGACTCACTGTCCACGGCCATCTACATGTGTCGCTGGTCTTGGTTTCTGGCAGATAGTTGCTGTATTTTTCTAACGCTGGTTGCCGCTGGCTAGTATGTTTGAAGATTTTGATGTTTTTTTAAATGAAACTCATGGTAAAGCTGGAAAGCTTCTTTGACAAACACCTTATGAAGAGAGGAAACCTCAATCTACAGGTTGCTCCAGCCATTTTTTTGAACATGACAGTCACAAGGGAGGAGAATTGGTGATGTTTTCTCCTGATCTACACAACTCTTTCCCTCTGTATCTGGCATGTTGGGAGCTAATCAGACAGTTCTTTGTTGATATTTGTGCTTTTGGGTCATGTTTGTTTCATTGGACTATTCTAGGCAACTGGCACGTTCATGCCTGCGACTATTGGTGTGTCTGAAAATGGTGGATACCCATCCATGTCAACCCCGGATTAATAAACCAATGGACCAATGGATTATTAATTGGCGAGGGTACCTCCAAATAGTACTGATATAATGCTTAAATGGTACCCGCCCAATCCAATAGCCTAGGGATTTATTTATCCAGGGTTGACATTAGAATTCATTTGGATACCATGATAAAGCTGAGGTTTCGGCATTTCAGTGGATCTCCTTGGCAGGTCGCATGATATCTCAGTCATTCATGCTTTTCGGAGCACACGTTTTCCTTTTCCTGATAAAACATCCCATCAATATCTCCACATTTGGTGATTTATCTATGTTTATCTCACCTTTTTGTTTGACTACATTAGCATACCCATGTTCGAGTACTTGCCATTGATCATCATTGTTTGTGGCTCCTTTGGCATCCCCATATTTTGCCGCCTCGGTAGCTCGACAGCCAACACCACTTACAGTTGGTATGTAGTATGCTCGTGCATAGACATTTGTATACACTCATGCAGTTATGTTCATATTCTACATATAACACATGCACATGTATGTATATATAAATATATAGTATACATAGTGATATGTGTGCGTGTGTGCAAACCTGCTAGTTTTCATCCGGGAAAGAATCTTTTAGATTGATTCCGCTCATCTCAAAACAAAAGTAGGCAGGGGGAGTCGAGCCGATTTGCATATCCAGACCAACGAAGCTATGTCATTTCGGTGGATATGTTGTCTGATAAACCACTTGCACTTGCTTCCACATTGTTTGAACTGTTGACTACGCTGTGACTTCAGGCTGTTACAGGTCAAGGTTTGTCTCGCGACACAGTTTTCATGTCAGTTTTGCCGTCTCAGGAAAGGTTTTCAAACAGAGTACGTACAGTAAATCTTTTACGCGGTCAGAAGTGTGAATGGGCACAGTCTCACTGACTTGTAAGTGCCGTCTTTACAGTTTTTGGCGTGCATTGAATTGGAGCCGGCCTTCCAGTGCAGCATGGGTTCTGCAAACCTCGGAATTTTGAGGGGACTTGGTGCCTGTGGGAGTTGGCTTACAGCTGTAGTGTATGAATGGCGACAATCGGAAAAAGTCACAAGACAGCAAGACGTCACAAGACAGAAGCAGACAACTTGTAAGCCCATGGATGCAGGACACATAGCTTGGGACACCCCCTTCCTTTCTCCTTCCCCATCCTTTTCCTTCCTCCTCTCTCTTTCTCTTCCCCGTCTTCCCTCCCCCAAACCCTTTCTCTCCCCTTGCCGCATCCTCAGGTGTGTGTTTGTCCCTTTCCTGTGCTGTCCTGCTTCAGTCCTCTGGCTGCCGTGTTTTTTTGCTTTGTTGCCTGTTCTGTCTTCTGCGTGCCGGGGATGGGTTTCTGTGTGCTTCCTTCCCCACCTTCCCCCTTCTCGTCGTTTGTTCTGCCTGCTTGTTGTGTGCTCCCTCTGCCTGTTGTCTGCTTTTGTTGCTTTTCTCTCGTTTCCCAGGTCTTTGTTGTGGCTGGCTGTCCTTGTTCCCTCCCATTTGGTACGTTGGTCGCTTGTGACCCTATTCACTGTTTCTACGTTTTGAACCAAAATAGATAGGGTCACAAGTGACCAAGTGTGCTTGGAGTCCCACGCCTGTCACACAAAATTGGTGTGTCCCCTTTGTGGTCGCTTGTGACCCTATTCGTGCCCGAAGTATCATTTTTGAAGGAAGTCTCGCAGAAAAGCTGGGTTTTGAGTTTCGAAGCTTCATTTTTGAAGGAAGTCTCGAACAAAACCTTCGTTTTTGAGTTTCGAACCTTCATTTTCGAAGGAAGTCTCGCAGAAAAGCTGGGTTTTTGAGTTTCGAAGCTTCATTTTTGAAGGAAGTCTCGAACAAAACCTTCGTTTTTGAGTTTCGAACCTTCATTTTTGAAGGAAGTCTCGCAGAACAGCTTCGTTTTTGAGTTTCGAACCTTCATTTTTGAAGGAAGTCTCGCAGAACAGCTTCGTTTTAGAGCTTCGAAGCTCCATTTTTGAAGGAAGTCTCGCAGAAAAGCTTTGTTTTAGAGTTCAAAACGCATATATAGAAACATATGTAGGTTTTTGAAGGAGATATATATATATATATATATTATATAGGTAGTCATACATTGTATACCATGGCTTTGTGGACTGCAGGGAGCAAGTCTAAATGAAGAATTACATTGTAGACCATTGCAGTGTGGAACGCATGGGGGAGGAAGTTAAAATGATAAATGAAGAAGTTGAATGGTGACCATTGAATGGTGGAGCGCAGGGGGGGGAAGTTTAAATAAAGAAGTAGAATGGAGACCATGGTTTAGTGGAACGCAGGGGGGGGAAGTTTAAATAAAGAAGTAGAATGGTGACAATGGTTTGGTGGAACGCAGGGGGGGGAAATTTAAATAAAGAAGTAGACTGGAGACCATGGTTTAGTGGAACGCAGGAGGGGGAAGTTTAAATAAAGAAGTAGAATGGAGACCATGGTTTGGTGGATCGCAGGGGGGGGAAGTTTAACTAAAGAAGTAGAATGGAGACAATGGTTGGGTGGAACGCAGGGGGGGAAGCTTAAACAAAGAAGTAGAATGGAGACCATGGTTTAGTGGAACGCAGGGGGGGGAAGTTTAAATAAAGAAGTAGAATGGTGACAATGGTTTGGTGGAACGCAAGGGGGGGAAAGTTGAAATAAAGAAGAACAATGGTTTAGTGGAACGCAGGGGGGGAAGTTTAAATAAAGAAGTAGAATGGAGACAATGGTTAGTGGAACGCAGGGGGGAGGAAGTTTAAATAAAGAAGTAGAATGGAGACCATGGTTAGTGGAACGCAGGGGGGGGAAGTTTAAATAAAGAAGTAGAATGGAGACCATGGTTTAGTGGAACGCAGGGGGGGAAAGTTTAAATAAAGAATTAGAATGGAGACAATGGTTTAGTGGAACGCAGGGGGGGGAAATTTAAATAAAGAAGTAGACTGGAGACCATGGTTTAGTGGAACGCAGGGGGGGGGGAAGTTTAAATAAAGACTTAGAATGGAGACCATGGTTTGGTGGAACGCAGGGGGGGGAAGTTTAAATAAAGAAGTAGAATGGAGACCATTGTATGGTGGAACGCAGGGGGGGGGGAGTGTAACTAAAGGGATAGGGTCGCAGGTGACCGGATAATAGGGTCGCAAGTGACCGGGTAGAATAGGGTCACAAGTGACCGGATAATAGGGTCACAAGTGACCATGGTACCTCCCATTTCCCCCCTCTGTGTGTGAAAGCCTACAAGACTGGCCTACTCACATCAATGTTTACTTACGAGATCTGTTATTTTCCATCAAGCCCCCGCTAGTTTTCATCCGGGAAAGAATCTTTTAGAATGATTCCGCTCATCTCCAAACAAAAGTAGGCAGGGGGAGTCGAGCCGATTTGCATATCGAGACCAGCGAAGCTATGGCATTTCGGTGGATATATTGTGTGATAAACCACTTGCACTTGCTTCCACATTGTTTGAACTGTTTGTTGACTACGCTGTGACTTCAAGGCTGTTGTAGGTCAAGGTTTGTCTCACGACACTGTTTTCATGCCGTTTTGACAGCCTCAACATCAAAAAGTTTTCAATCAGAGTAAGTACAGTAAATCTCTTACACGGTCAGCTGTGTGTGTGTAACATCTGAACAGATGTAAAACTTCTACTTTATCTATATGCAGGGGGGCAACGTGAGCATAGCTGGTTGCCCAATGAAGAGGGCTATGCCACGGCTGATATGGAGTCTGATCAACCCTACGTACCTGCGAGCAAATCCGCTTTCGATGATTCAGTTTTTCGTCCGTTTCAGTTTCTCGCAGACGTGGCATGGGGTTAAGCCGAGAAACCCTTTACCCAACATTTCATCAATTTCATTGTCTTGCTGCTGCATGGCTCCTGCAATCTGGATGGGTCGATCTACTTTGTTTTGTCTCATTGGGACTTTGATCAGACCTTTGTTGTGATGTACAGTGCATTATGATTCGATTTTATTCTTCGGAGGACTACTCAGGCTCGGGTTTCATGTCATGTTGTTTTTTGATGGGATTCAGCTCCCAACAGATCACTTCAGTGATCTTTCTCTTGTCTAGCGTGATTCCCATTCTGGCTCCGACAAGTGTGAGGGAATCCTCTTCATGGCGATTGCAGACCGAGTGACTTCTGAATTTACAATTTTCAATGTGGTAATTCGTCTAAGTAAAGTGAAACAGTTGGCCTTTCCGTTTTGCACCGTTTTTCGGTCCCGCTGCTCCTGCTGTCTGAGCTACACGCCGGGAACTTTCTTCTTTGCTCAAGTGAGACTGACGGAACAGTGAAAATTTTCTTTTCTGTGACAGGTGCACCAGTACATCTTCATGCTCACATGTAAGTCTCCAGGGAATAGGCATAGCGGCATATCCTTTTCCTGCAGGTATGATTTAATTACTTTGGTATCTGGTGAGATTGACCAGTTAGCCGTTTTGACAGCCTCAACATCAAAAAGTTTTCAATCAGAGTAAGTACAGTAAATCTCTTACACGGTCAGCTGTGTGTGTGTAACATCTGAACAGATGTAAAACTTCTACTTTATCTATATGCAGGGGGGCAACGTGAGCATAGCTGGTTGCCCAATGAAGAGGGCTATGCCACGGCTGATATGGAGTCTGATCAACCCTACGTACCTGCGAGCAAATCCGCTTTCGATGATTCAGTTTTTCGTCCGTTTCAGTTTCTCGCAGACGTGGCATGGGGTTAAGCCGAGAACCCCTTTACCCAACATTTCATCAATTTCATTGTCTTGCTGCTGCATGGCTCCTGCAATCTGGATGGGTCGATCTACTTTGTTTTGTCTCATTGGGACTTTGATCAGACCTTTGTTGTGATGTACAGTGCATTATGATTCGGTTTTATTTTTCGGACGAGTACTTAGGCTTGGGTTTCATGTCATGTTGTTTTTTGCTGGGGTTCAGCTCCCAACAAATCACTTCAGTGATCTTTTTCAAGTCTAGTGTGTGTGTGTATTTGATACACATCGCGGGATATAACTGCTGATCGCCATTCAACGTTCCCAAGAGAAACAACGCGCCGCTTTGTCAACTCTCAGGTATTGTCACGGTCACAACTGTGGGTTACGGCGATATAACGCCAAAGTCTTGGCCCGCCAAAGTCGTCTCAGGATGTTTGTGCTTTATTAGCGTGCCTGGGAGCCTGGAAAGGATCCGGGGATAAAACTAAGAAAAATCGTGGTTTAGTGTAGTGGTAATATAATTGAAGGGCCGGATAACCCCACAAGTCAACTTCTTCCAAACATGAATAATGAGCAACAAATGTTGTAGCGGGACGGGGAAGGAAGGAAAGACAAAGGAGGGTGGTGGAGGACCGAGAAGTAAAACAAAATGTGTGTGTGACACAGTTGTATGTGAAAGCTGGTGTGTAACCAAGAAAGATGGTGTCTGTGTGTGACAAAGTTGTGTGTGAAAGATGGTGTGTGTGACAAAGTCGTGTGTGAAAGATGGTGTGTGACAAAGTTGTGTGTGAAAAATGGTGTGTGATAGATGGTGTGTGATAAAGTGGTGTGTGAAAGATGGTGTGTGAAAGATGGTGTGGTAAAAGATGGTGTGTGACAAAGTGGTGTGTAGAAGATGGTGTGTCAAAGATGATGTGTGTCAAAGATGGTGTGTGAAAGATGGTGTGTGAAAGATGGTGTGTCAAAGATGGTGTGTGAAAGGTGGTGTGTGAAAGAGTGCGTGTCAAAGATGGTGTGTGAAAGATGGAGTGTGACAAAGTGGTGTGTGAAAGATGGTGTGTGAAAGAGGATGTGTCAAAGATGGTGTGTGTGAAAGATGGTGTGTGACACGGTGATGTGTCAAAGATGGTGTGGACAAGTTGTGTGTTGACAAAGTCGCACGCCTGCCACGCAAAGTGAAACTCGATGTCAACAAGTGCCACACCTGCCACGCAAAGTGAAAGTCAATGTCACCAAGTGCCATGCCTGGCACGCAAACAACCGCGGCGTCCACGGCGTCGACTGGGACCCAAGCGCGCCACCAGAGCCAGTCCAGTGCCATAAGTGCCACACCTTCCATGTCGCCAAGTGCCACGCCTGCCACGCAAAGTGCACGTCCATGTCGCCAAGAGCCACGCCTGCCAAGCAAAGTGCAAGTCCATGAAGCGCCGCGGCGTCCACGGCGTCAACTGGGACCCAAGCGCGCCACCAGACCCAGTCCAGTGCCATAAGTGCCACGCCTGCCACGCAAAGTGGAGGTCGATGTCACCAAGTGCCACGCCTGCTACGCAAAGTGAAGGTCGATGTCGCCAAGTGCCAATGTCACCAAGTGCCACACCTGCCATGCAAACAGCCGCGGCGTCCACGACGTCAACTGCGACCCAAGCGCGCCACCAGAGCCAGCCCAGTGCCATAAGTGCCGCGTCTGCCACGCAAAGTGCACGTCCATGTCGCGCCAAGTGCCACACGCCTGCCACGCAAAGAGCCACGGCGTCCACGGCGTCAACTGGGACCCAAGCGCGCCACCGGAGCCAGCCCAGTGCCATGCAAAGTGCAAGTCCAAGTCGCCAAGTGCCTTGCCTGCCACACTGTCAGCAAGTTGTGTGTGGACAAGTTGTGCGTGAGTAAGTTGTATGTGAGCAAGTTGTGTGGTGACATGTTGTGTGTGTGTGAGTAAGTTGTGCGTGTGGACAAGTTGTGTGGTGAGTGAGTTGTGTGTGGACAAGTTGTGTGGTGACAAGTTGTGTGTAGACAAGTTGTGTGTGAGTAAGTTGTGTGTGAGCAAGCTGCGTGGTGAGTAAGTTGTGTGTGGACAAGTTGTGTGTGAGTAAGTTGTGTGTGGACAAGTTGTGTGTGAGTAAGTTGTGTGTGAGCAAGTTGTGTGGGGACATGTTGTGTGTGAGTAAGTTGTGTGTGGACAAGTTGCGTGGTGAGTAAGTTGTGTGTGGACAAGTTGTGTGGTGACAAGTTGTGTGTGGACAAGTTGTGTGTGAGTAAGTTGTGTGTGAGCAAGTTGTGTGGTGACAAGTTGTGTGTGAGCAAGTTGTGTGTGAGTAAGTTGTGTTTGGACAAGTTGTGTGTGTGTGAGTAAGTTGTGTGTGAGCAAGTTGTGTGGTGACAAGTTGTGTGTGAGGAAGTTGTGTGTGTGAGCAAGTTGTGTGGTGACAAGTTGTATGTGAGGAAGTTGTGTGGACCAGTGGTGTGGTGAGCAAGTTGTGTGTGTGTGTGAGCAAGTTGTGTGGGCGGCGGGAGGGCAGGCCGGAGCGGGCAGGCGGAAGTGCACAACCAAAGACAAGAACCCCACACAAAGATGCGGGGAAGAGAAGGAACATGAAGAAAAATGGAAACACACGCAAATTTCGCAAGCAAACGCATCTCAACTTCAACAACGCCTTCCACGCAGAATGCACGTCCATGTCGCGAAAAGCCACAGCTGCCCCGCAAAGTGACAGTCGATCTCGCGAAGTACCACGCCTGCCACGCAAACGGCGGCGGCGACCACGGTGCCAAACAAGACCCAAGCGCGCCACCGGAGCCAGCCCAGTGCTATAAGTGCCACGCCTGCCACGCAAAGTGACGATCCATGTTGCGAAGTGCCACGCTTGCGACGCAAAGTGCAGGTCCATGTCGCCAAGTACAAGTTGTGTGTGAGCAAGTTGTGTGTGGACGAGTTATGTGTGGACAAGTTGTTTGTGAGTAAGTTGTGTGTTTGCAAGTTGTGTGTGTGAGTAAGTTGTGTGGTGACAAGTTGTGTGGTGACAAGTTGTGTGTGAGCAAGTTGTGTGTGAGTAAGTTGTGTTTGGACAAGTTGTGTGTGTGTGTGAGTAAGTTGTGTGTGAGCAAGTTGTGTGGGGACAAGTTGTTTCTGAGTAAGTTGTGTGTGAGCAAGTTGTGTGGTGACAAGTTGTATGTGAGGAAGTTGTGTGGACCAGTGGTGTGGTGAGCAAGTTGTGTGTGTGTGTGTGAGCAAGTTGTGTGGGCGGCGGGAGGGCAGGCCGGAGCGGGCAGGCGGAAGTGCACAACCAAAGACAAGAACCCCACACAAAGATGCGGGGAAGAGAAGGAACATGAAGAAAAATGGAAACACACGCAAATTTCGCAAGCAAACGCATCTCAACTTCAACAACGCCTTCCACGCAGAATGCACGTCCATGTCGCGAAAAGCCACAGCTGCCCCGCAAAGTGACAGTCGATCTCGCGAAGTACCACGCCTGCCACGCAAACGGCGGCGGCGACCACGGTGCCAAACGAGACCCAAGCGCGCCACCGGAGCCAGCCCAGTGCTATAAGTGCCACGCCTGCCACGCAAAGTGACGATCCATGTTGCGAAGTGCCACGCTTGCGACGCAAAGTGCAGGTCCATGTCGCCAAGTACAAGTTGTGTGTGAGCAAGTTGTGTGTGGACGAGTTATGTGTGGACAAGTTGTTTGTGAGTAAGTTGTGTGTTTGCAAGTTGTGTGTGTGAGTAAGTTGTGTGTGAGCAAGTTGTGTGGTGACAAGTTGTACGTGAGGAAGTTGTGTGGTGACAAGTGGTGTGGTGAGCAAGTTGTGTGTGGGCAAGTTATGTGGTGACAAGTTGTGTGTGAGTAAGTTGTGTGTGGACAAGTTGTGTGGGGACAAGTTGTTTGTGGACCAGCCCAGTGCCATAAGTGCCATGCCTGCCACGCAAAGTGACGATCCATGTCGCGAAGTGCCACGCCTGCCACGCAAAGTGACAGTGGACAAACGGCGGCGGCAACCACGGCGCCAAACGAGACCCATGGAGCCAGCCCAGTGCCACAAGTGCCACGCCTGCGACGCAAAGTGACGATCCATGTCGCGAAGTGCCACCCTTGCCACGCAAAGTAGAGGTCCATGTCGCCAAGTACCATGCCTGCCACACAAACGGCGGTGGCGACCACGACGCCAAACGAGACCCAAGCGCGCCACCTGAGCCAGCCCAGTGCCATAAGTGCCACGCCTGCCACGCAAAGTGACGATCCATGCAGGGAGTGCGACGCCTGCCACGCAAAGTGACGGTCGATGTCGCCAAGTGCCACGCCTGCCACGCAAACGGCGGCGGCGACCACGGCGCCAAGCGAGACCCAAGCGCGCCACCGGAGCCAGCCCAGTGCCATAAGTGCCATGTGTGAACAAGTTGTGTGGGGACAAGTTGTTTGTCAGTAAGTTGTGTGTGAGCAAGTTGTGTGTGGGCGGCGGGCGGGCACAAGTTGTGTGTGTGGACAAGTTGTGTGTGAGCAAGTTGTGTGTGGGCGCCGGGCGGGCACACGTGGTGTGGTGACAAGTTGGGTGTGAGGAAGTTGTGTGGTGACAAGTGGTGTGGTGAGCAAGTTGTGTGTGGACAAGTTGTGTGGGGACAAGTTGTTTCTGAGTAAGTTGTGTGTGAGCAAGTTGTGTGTGGGCGGCGGGCGGGCCGGCCGTTGCGGGCAGGCGGAAGTGCACAACCAAAAACAAGAACCCCACGCAAAGATGTGTGGAAAAATTGAATATTATGGAAAGACAATGGTAGCAGAATGCGAACAGGAAAAAAATAAGCATGGGACATAATGGGACTATAAACGGATTCCATGGGTTATATAACTTATATTCATTGGCTACTCGATGTACCAAGTGAATAACTTGGGGATGCACTAAGTCATTGCAATTGGTTGGTTGCTGGGATTGCTGGGGAATAGTTTCAGTGGGGGTCCACTTGAGTAATCATGAGCACGTAAATGGGGGTATCAAACAGATATAATGTTACACTTTACCTCTATGATATCAACTCATCAAGAATGTAGATGTTTTTTTGCACAGAAAAAATATTAACCATACTAACCCACAACCATGGGGATTTTGCTGAAATAATGGAGAACTCACGAGCACTTGTGTGGATAGAATCAGATTGGCTGGGGAGAAAAATGACATGTCTATAAGCAACAGCTGCATGCCGGAATGCCTCTATTACAAGAATTTAATACCATTTTCATTTAAATATATAATTGTTTGCCACGTTGATGGGCAGATGAATAGAACAACCTGAACAAATGAGGGTATCAGGTTGAATCAAATATTGGCTATGGTTTTCTAGGGATAGATCTCCAACGAACATGAATGTACAGCAACTAGGTGTTTATTTATTTTGGTACTTACATGTAGACACGGTTCATACGTTTGTATGTAGTCTATGCAATAAGAGAGGTAAATGTAATGTATGTAATGCACGCCATGTATTCAATGCATGTAATGAATGTAATCAATGTACGGTATATTACGGTATATACGTTATGGTGTAGTATCGTATGGCATGGCATGGCATGGCATGGTATGTTTTTATGAATGTAATGTATGCAGTGCATGCAAGGTGTGTAATGTATGTGATGTATGGAATGTATGTAAACTATTTAATTCATGTAATGAAAGTACTGAATGTATTAAATTCAATCTAACGAATGTAATGTAATGTAGTGTAATGTAACGTCATGGATGTTTGCATGCATCTATGCATGCAAACGCATGCATGTATATATGTTTATTTGCATGTAATGTATGTAACGTTTGTAATGTATATAATGCATGTAATTTATGCGATATATGTAATTTATGCAACACACGTAGTGTATGTAATGGATGTAGTTTTGTACCGTATGTAGTGCATGGAATGAATGTAACGTATGTAATGAATGAATGTATGTAAACTATGTAAGGTATGTAATATATGTACCGTATGTAGTGTATGTGAAGTAGGTAATGTAAATGTATGCACTGGATGTAATGCATTTTGTTATGTAATGCATGTAATGTGTGTAATGTATGTAAAGTTTGTAATGAATGCAGTGTATGTAATGCATGTAATGTATGTAATGTGTATGTAGTGCATGTAATACGTGTGATTAATGCTATGTGTGTAATGAATGTAATGTGTGTATGGTATGTATGGTATGTATGTTATGTATGGTATGGTATGGTATGGTATGGTATGGCATGGTATGGTATGGTACTATGTTCGCACGCATGCATGCATGCATGCATGCATGGATGGATGGATGGATGGATGTATGTGTATATATATATATATATGTATGTATATATTTTTTGGGTGGGGTATTTCCAAAAGTCTTGTAGTCATTTGCATCAACCAGGTGCTCTTTATGGCCATGCCTTTGTCAGTGGTCGGCAACGCCATGTCCGAAACCTGGTCGGACCGGCATCGCATTTTGCTGGTGACCCGAGCCAGACGGAGATTGACGCTGGATTTCCCCATGAGAAACGGTGATTTAACCATCAAAAGGATGCGATATGAACCCATAATTCGCTGTTCAAAACAATGTTTTAATTGGGATTAAACCAAACATTATTGGGAATATCATGCAGATATAATGGGAAAACACATGTAACCAATAAGATGAAAATTGTAAGTTTTCCATTGCCTGCTTAAATGGGGTTATACTATCCAATATATAATATATACCCTTCATTTTTATGACTCTGATGTTGTTTTTTGAATGTCAGAAATGTAGGTATGGGTCTGGATTACGGGGTGCAATTTGGGAACGACACGTCTATTTGCATTCACCCGGGTCTGACATGTTGTGGGAACCGCGGGCTTCAAATACCTGTCTGAGGGGTGGCGTTTACAGTACTTGGATGTGCGTCCCAGGAATCAATGTTGATTTAATACACATGAGTGCAATAGGTGATATTCACACATTTCCCAGTTCCTAAGTCTTAGTTGTGTTTTCGTTACTATTGGTGTTCAATGTTTGTATTCCATCTTGCGTGTTTGAAGTCAGGTGAGGATTTCAATCACCAATGTGTGTCGTTTGAATCACCAATTGGTGTAGGTCAATGCTTGTTCAGTTAAATATGTTAAATCATGTTATATGAGCATGGGTCAAAATTGGGTACTCTAATCATTGGATGGTTAATACTAAAGATAGACCAACATCTTTGGTACCCGAGGTCTTAAATTTTGACCCTTACCCATACGGTAACAACATTTGAATAGGAGGGTGGGCCAGACCGCGAGGCCCCGGAGGTTGTATGAAATACCAGTTCGTATGTTTAAATGGCTGGGCGGGCCAAGGGAAAACCTATGAAAACCTTCCTGGAGGTAGTCTAAAATACCTGTTCGGATATTTTAAAGTCCGTATATTTAAGAGTAGTTACCGTATATTAATCCAGTTGTTGTTGATTCTTTGATCGTTTTGCCGGACAATCTCAGGAAAACTTGGGGCGTTTCCGCCGACGACTTGCCGAATATCTTCAAAAAATTCGACGCCGACGGCAACGGTGAGCTGGGCATGGATGAGTTTATTGACTTCATTTCGCGGATGAAGGCGAGGCGGATCCCGCCCTCATATGGCCATAAATTGTTGGTATGAACATGTGTAAACATGTATAAACCATCCACAAATGATAGGTTTATTATTGGGTTTATCACATTCACCGAAAAAGTACAACATTTGATAGCATTTGATTAATCAGGAAGTTCCCCCCAAACAAAAATCCTAGTGATATATTTTCAAAGTTAGATGGAATCCCCCCCACTCCGTTCAACAGCCTAGGCTACCTAGGAGGCTGTTAATTGGGGGGTATATTACTGGTGAATCGATGGGGGAAACACAACAATCAACCAGTCATGGAAAAACTGCTGGACGGAGAGAGTGGAAGAAGGATTTAATATTGATAATCATGGCATGAACAAATGGATCAATATTAAACAAATCATGGATAATATCAAAACAATATTAATATTGATATTTAGAAACAAATGTGTTTTGAGAATGTGTTTTTTGTTTTTAACAAACAAACTGGTATTTTTAGAATTTTACCGTACTTTACCCGTAATTTCCCGTAATCAAATGCCTTGCTGAAAAAACATGAGTGTTTTTGAAAAAAAAACATTTTTTTTCCTGGCAACCCAAAAAGGTTTTGGAGGCTATAGGTATATACATATATATATATATAGATAGATAGATACTGTAGATAAATTGATTGGTTGATATATGTACTATAGTTTTTTTGCCACAAAAGATTGGATTCTAATGGAGCATTTGGGAGTAGCAGTTGCTGTGCCATCCCTTCCAGTGTGGCAGGTTGGGATCAAGCCTTCAGAGGCTTCTGACCTTTTCTTGGCGTTTGACACGGACGGCAGTGGAGGCATTGACGAGAAAGAGTCTGGTCAGTGTTTTTCTTTTCTTTGGACCCAACCAGTTTACTACTAAACAAATCCTAGGTTTGGGGTATTTCGAACGGACCCAGTACACCCCAAAAATGGAATGAGTCCCAAAGAAGGTGCATGTTTGTTGAATTTGTTGAATCATCAAAGCACCCAAAACCAACTGGGTGAAGAAATCTGATGATCAGAGGCTTCAATGAGTCAGTGTCGAAATCCACAATGTCACAATGTTGTTGGTAAAATCATGTTATATGATCGTAAAGAACCATGGTTTCCTCATGTTTCAGTTTCATGTGTCCTTTCTCTTCAGAAAACCTGAGTGATCACCCAGGAATTCATGAAGACCCTCTTCCCCGTAGACTATCGCCGTATCTACCGACGCGCGTCGACCGCGGCTTAAGCCATGACGCACTGCGCCACCCCCGAAGGGGGTGCGTGGACAGCGCTGAATCTGACATCTGCATGCTGAAAATCGAGGTTTTGGGTGATTTGGGACCAGATTTCAGCTAGATTCCTAGTTTTTCTATGTATTGATCTAGTGATGTTCCATGGATTTTCCTGGACCTTGGATGATTCATCTAGTGATCTAGTGATGATGGCTTGAAACCCTGGTGATCTCCTTGGACCTGCAGGTTTTCTTTTTTAGGTGCTTTGGCACCGAAGCTGTCGCAGAATGAAATACTGGTTGGTGGTTTGGAATATTTTTTAATTTTTCCATATATTGGGAATAATAACCCCAACTGATTAATATGTTTCAGAGGGGTTGAAACCACCAACCAGAATAATGATAGAATAATGATAGAATACTCAGTTACTAGAGTTGCTAGAGTAACCTCCACAGTTGAGAAGCATCAGATGGTCGCGGCCCATCACGATGGTTCATTGGAAGGTGAGGGGTGTGGGAGCAGTGCTCAAAACATACCTGCACTGGTTGACAAAAAGAGGTAACTCCCTCCTGAACAAAGGATAAAGGTTTACTAGTATATGTATGTATATGATTGTTTATGTTGGTTCTACCTTCGAACTAGGTCAACTGGGGTTTGCTGGATACATCTTCAGTTGGATGGCCCAAATTCTCCATCAACATCCATTGGATGTTCAGCAGATTCAGGAAAGACATATACAGTAAAACAGCAACAATCAAGCATTGCTGCCTCATTTGGGTGTGTTTGAAAATAGGGTACCAGGTATACCCACCAAAGTTATGTTGGTCTTCCATGTGACGGGTTTCCATAGCTGTATGTTTTCCCATAGGCAGGACCATACAGTTTCCATTTGGAGCTGAGATGTGTTTGCAACAGGGGTCTCTATGCCACCCTAGAGTCCATATGCAAGCTTCAACTGTTTTCAAGATGTCAAACTCTCAATGAGGTGGGTGTGTCTTAAAACGGTGTAATTATATGTATGTAATTATATGTATGTAATTATATGTATGTAATTATATCATATTATATCACTATCACCAAATCGAATGTTTATCAGTGTTTATCACCATGTTCTCCATTAAAATTGCCACAGTTAGGTAAATCCCAAAATTTTCAGAGACACCCATATAGATTTTCGGATGAATATAGCAAGGTCATGATGAATCGGATGCCAACGCCCCTTCATCTATTTGGTCAGATCCTCCATGGGACTGTCAACATGTTACAGTCCCATCCCCCGATCATATTTTTTTTACCTCCCCCAATAAGGGACCTCACATGAATGTATCCAGTACAAAATCAGTGCCTTTAAGGGGGTATGAATGGATCCAGCTTAGCATTCGGGGGAAGGGATTATACACCTATGGACTACTTGAGCTCAAAAGATCATGCTTAGAAGCGATGGCCCTTACTAAATGCGCCTTGCCAGTTACAAGTTTGCTTATGTATGTAGAGTAAACAAACTTACCTATTTGGTTATCAACTTACAGTATATACCTATTTGGTTACCAACCATTGAGACAGCTCACTTGTACATATAATTGTACATATCTATGAATCGGGGACTTCCCCACTAGAGTTCCAAACCAGATCCATTTCTTGGCCTATTCGCAAATCATGTTAGCTTCAGTAAGCACGCATTATTACATATATATATATATACACTATATATAATGATATATATATATATATACACACACACCATATATACCATAAAGATCCATAAAGCGTATTCCAATAAAATGGTTGGTGTCCTCCAGCATACCCCCATTGGCACCACTTGAGGATCATTCCACATAGTGGCTGGTTCATAACCCTCGTGAATGAGCCCCCGATTCCTGGGATATTCCAGTGAACCAAAACATAGATTCAGTACTAAACATGATCAAATATGTACCCTCTGGTAAACAAACAGCTTGCGAACTTGAAAATTGCCATTTAGATAGTTGATTAAAACCCATAGAAATATAGTATGGTGATTTTCCATAGTTTTTTGTTGTATGTTTACCAGAGCGTATCCACAAGAATCACCATCAAAACAATAGGTAAATATAGCTAACTCATCGAGTTCTAAATATGCCATGGCTTCCAGTTGACAAAGTTTTTTTTACTGTAATTATGCCGAATTTCATATATTATATATATACACCATTATATAAACTATCATGATGTTTAACTATCATATAAACTATCATTGTGCCAGTAATATATCATCATTTCATATCATTATGCCAACTGTATCCCCATCTTTTCATTTCATAAGGTGCAGGTCGATGGGCCCCTGAATTGGGGGAAGCCTATGACAGCCGGTGGAGCCAAAACCGTCAGGGCACCCAGCGGAAAGGCTGAAGGATTGGTGTCTTTTTTTGGGACCACAAAATAGTTACAGAAGTTGATAAAATCCTACGAAGATAGTGATCAACATGACTGTTCCGTCTCTTTTTCTTGGGGGGTTACTAGTACAACTAGCAATAGCAACATAGATAGACAAGTTGGAAACCTGGAACGTGTGGAGGACACATCATTCAACATCCTGGAAAGGCTACTAGTTGGAACATGGACCCCGGGACCCCACGATTTTGGATGAGACATCGAATGGATGCTTGCAGGACTGTAGCATACTGTACCTAAATCATCCCAATGAAAGGTTTTATTGGTCAATTATATTAATCAGAGGGGATCTCCAAATTTGATGTTCTGCAAATGAAAGACTGTGTTTTTGGGATCCAGCATTTATGCTTGTGAACATGATCATGTTTTTTTAAAGGTACTGTACATGTTTTGTTGTGAACATCCCAATGGAGAGGTGCTCCAGCCCACCAGCGGCCGAGGCGACTGGCGAGCCTTTGCCTTGGCGTTTCTGGAGTTGATATGGGGAAGGTTGGAATCCGAGAACAGGAGACTGTCTGGTGATTTGTTACATAGCTGCTATAGCTATTGAACATGGCCATTTATAGTTCATATATGTTCATACACCTATGACATATGTTGATGTTCCATAGCCATGTTTTTGTTTACTGGGTAGGGTGGTTCCCAGACACCAGGAAAATTGATGGAGCAACATTGGGTGAATTTGCCGAATCAATTGAGGGGGCCGGTGAAGGTCTGGTTTCAATCAGAAAGTTACCGTAAAGATGTGATTAATTCTACACATACATCTAATATGTATATCCTATATATGCATTGTATGTATATATATATATGTATGATATATATGTATGATATATATATATACATACACATAATATGTATATATATATATATATACATATACCTATGTACACACCCATGATTCATAAATGTTATATTGATATTTCATCAATCAGACTAGCCTAATATACCAAAAGGGACGACACCTTTGGGATCCATGGGAGGCAACTCGATATGTGGAGATTAGTTGGCACGCCCTGGCCTCAACTTGGCGAGGGTGTTGGGCATGGGCAACCCCAAGAAAGGTGTCCAAACGTATGAAACTCATTTAAGCCAATTACAACTGGTCAAAATTCATTATACCCTCTGGTAAACTAACATAGCTATTGAAAATGGCCATTTATAGTGGATTACCTATTAAAAATGGTGATTTTCAATGGCTATGTTAGATACCTAGATGGTATATGATGGTGTATATATATATATATATTTATAAATTTATATTTATATATACATATTATATTATACTTCTAATCCATAATTCTTAAACATTGCATATGCATATGTTCAGGGTTCATTGGTTTTGCACCCCATCAAGATATTCGAGCAGTGTTCAAAACCCTTGTTGATTGATGATCGTATGGGGTTTTACTACGCAGTATATTGCGGACTATCACAATCTTTTGTGGGAAATCCTATTGCAACCAGTATAAATGTACTATAATGTACTATTGGTTCAAGGAATGCTAACTATCAATGTACGTTGTGCGACATGTGTTGGTGCCGTGTGGCTGTTGATCGCCCTTACTTGAGCCCTGTATTAGTCCTTGTTGGTTGTAGCCTACAGAAACAGTCCCCCTAGGATTTATGATTGATATCTCTACAGCTTGATAGGGTTTCAAACCTGCTTATTATTGGGGCTGGACCTTTAGTTTGATATTTTGGGGAAATTTAATTCTGTAGTTCAATTGTCCATTCCTTGTTTCCAGACATGGGAAAACTACGGAAAAACCTACTAATCATACAGAATCTGGTTGATGGGTTGGAATAGGATGTATCTTCCATCCCCCCAAAAAGGAATGATAATCCCCATTGACATATGTTTTTCATTGTTCTTCATTTGTGTTTATTTCCCATCTAACTGGGATCATAATCCTCGACTTTTTTTTCGGCATTGAAGCCAGCCATCAGGAACTCCAGCGGGGAATGCAGATGGTCCTCACCCTTTGAGGCGGCGTACAGAGCGTAAATGAGCGATAACTGTACCGTACATGTACCAAACATGTACCAGAAATGTACCATATTATGAATGGTTTTAAGTTATAACTCACAATAATATCATTGTTTTGCGCTTCGCCTTTCTGGGGATCTTAAATTCCCTTTGCACAAATCGGAAAGGTCGTCATGGTTCTTGGAGAAATGTGGCATGCCAATTTTGAGCGGCCCTCAAATGGAGGATATCAGGATATCTATGACCCACCAGAATTACTGTATCATCATGGGGAAACTGATCAACCATGTGATGAAATGGGATTTCAATTTGGCCATCATGTATCAAACCCAATGGAAACACAGATGCATATTCTGATATTTAAGTCGAATTATGAACCTGCCCTTGATTTTTCAATGAGGCGTGGTTTATTGTTGAGATACAATCTACTTAGGAGATGTAACAAGGCTTCATTTATCTGATCTGAGCCGTGGGTTTTGATGGTGAACTCCTGGATTTGCTGCTTCAATCCCCAGTTGATCTCATGTCTACATGGAATGTCCGGTTCAAACTACGCCCCATGTTGCTTGAAATGCCCACAGAATGTTGACATAG